TAAATAGCAGTGAAAACTTGCACTTAATATTCAACTATTGCTCAGTTTTCCTCTGCGTAGAAAACTTTCTTTTTTTTTTTTTCAGTTAGTCTTGTAGAACTATCCACAGCCATACAAGGAATGTTTATTTTCAGTAAATTCTCAAGTAGGAATTTGGTATGTAGTAATTACTCAAGTTTAATAGTAGTATTCATTCAGTAGATAGTAATTACAAAGTTGGGATTTGGCCAGAAACGACATTCCTACTCTTTTAAATAGTGAAAACGAATTCTTTTGTGATCTCAGATAATCATAATGTTGAGGGTAAATCTTATTAAGAATGTAGATCTAGATACTGTTAGTGAGATGGTGCTTTCTTAGTCATTTTTTGTAGCACTGATTTAGGTCTGATTTGAGTAGCTAATAAATCACAACTCGTTACCTACATTGCTCATGTTTTCCATAAAGGTCTCTTCTGATTACTTGCTAACCGGCATCTGCTTGAGTTATAAAATCTGACAAAAAATCTGCTCCAGGCTGGTTATAAAAACATCTTTTTTCATGTACTATATCAGAGAATATAAATTCACTGTAAGTAAAGTTACTCTTGTGACTTTTCTTTTGTTCCTTTATGCCTTTCATTAGTGCCAAATATAGTCAGTAAGAATCCATACAATGGTCTGAGTAGGAGCATGCTCATCAAACCTCCATTTTCTCCCCTTACTCTGTGTTCCAGAATTTACTTTGAGGTCTTGGGCAGAATACCCCACTGTAGAGAAAAGCCAAAAGAAAAGAAACTGAAAAGTAAAGAAGTGGTGTGGTAGAGATGAGAAAGCAGGAAGTGGAGGCTGGACTTGATGAAGGGGAGAAAATAGAGATGAAGAGAAACAGACTCTGGGAAAATTCTAGAGAGCTAAGAGAATAAATACTTAACATGGCTCAAAAGATAAATGCCTGCATTAAAACTTTAAAAAGGAGACTTCCAGAAAAGCCTTCAAAGAGGGTGAATTAGATTGTCTGGGTCCTTGGAAATCCGTTTTGAAGCTGAGGGAAAGATGGTATGGAATTTCAGTTGTTATGTAAATGATACTTCTAAATACTCTGGCTCTTCTCCAGGCCATTCTGAACTGCCACTGTACCCTTATTGATATCATTTGTTTGCTTAGAACTTTTTTCTACCTAATAAAGGGAAGGTAAACAGCAGTTCAGCATCTTTTAATTTCTTGCAAAGTGTATATCAACCTCAGTTTTATTAGTGAGATTTTAAACTTACTGCCTTGTTAAATTTTGATACGATGGAAGAAGAAAAGAAACACCAGAGTTTGAGCAGTGGAAGATTCATGTCTTGCGTTCTTCCCAGAGTACAACTAGAGGCACAAATCGATATGTTAATTTCATGATTTTTAAACTGTTTCTTGGGATGCTTTGTTCACACTGTTCTTCAGATACCACTGTTTGGGGGATACAAGGAGAGATTGAGTAGATAGAATATACCCTGCTCTTGCCCCTCTTAGGTTGTATGTGTTATTGTAGCTTATGTGGTAATATATATTTTTAATTATTCTGCTGCAGTATACTTCTTTTTGTCTCATAGAAACAGTGGGTATGAGAGTATCCTTGCTAAAGTGCTTCTGTAAGGCCTTGGGCTGCCCTTGCAAGCACAAGAAGACAAACTTCCCATTAATAATACCAAAAGCTGACTCCTGAGCCCCATAGATGCTAAAGGATTGTTTTCTGTGTTGTCTGTGGATCAGTACCATGGCCATGACCTAGGGACTTTTTACAAGTGCAGAGTTGTGGGTACCATTTCAGACATACTGAATCAGAATCTACATTTTATCAAGAGTTCTCAGGTGGTTCATTTGTACATTCAGGTTTGACAAGCTCTGCAGCAGTTCAGCTTCCTGGTGCTTTTCACTTCACACTGAAAAACACTTATTGGATGAAGTATCATTCATCCCTTTGAGGGGTTAATTTCATATTGACCCTCCTTAGTAAAGGTGGTGGAAAACAGGATACTTGACTCTTATTTCTGCCTGGTTCTTCACCACAGTGTGCTCTGAGTTTATGTTATGACGTTCCCAAACATTTGGCTTACGCTGGTTTCTCAGACTTGAGCATCTTCTTCCTTTATTTCTCTCTCCCACCACCACATTCATATTAAATCTCAATTTCAGGAAAATAGAACTGAGTTGTTAACTGTGTCTTAAACCCTGGTGTGGCACTGTAGGATAAGCACTGGACCACAAGGTCGGTTTTGTTCTGCAGGATTGGTGGTTCAAACTCACACGCTGCTCCTGAGAAACTACTTGACAACACTTAACAGCAACAAACTCCCTTTATAACCACTATGTTGTTGTTAAATACCTTCCAGTTAGATCTGACTCATGGTGGTGGTGGTGGTGGTGGTGGTGGTGGTAACATGCTGTGGAGGACCCTGTATAGGGTTTCCAAGGCTGTAAATCTTTCTGGGAGCAGAAAGGCTCATATTTCTCCCATGAAGCTGCTAGTAGTTTAGAACTTCTGACCTTGAGATTAGTAGCCCAACTTATAACCACTACACTACCAGAGCTCCTTGTTGTAACTCATAATGACCCCATATAGGGTTTCCAAGGAGCATCTGGTGAATTTGAACCACTGACCTTGCAATTCAGACCAACCTTGCAGTCCAGTGCATTATCCTACAATGCCACACCAGGGCTCCTTTAGCTACTGTATCTTGTTCCATATTCCTTTTGCCTTCTGTTTCCCCCTCAGTTTTTATTGAAATGCTGGAACTGGTTTTCACAGAACCAAAAGTTTATAGTGGAGTCCTGGTGTGGTGCTATACTAGCATAATGTGGTGTTATACTAGCTTTTCGTGTAATTTTAACTTCAGTAAATTAAAATAGGAGTAAATTAAACTTCAATTTCAATTACTGAAATTTTAACTTCAGTAAATTAAAATAAGCACTAGACTACAGGCCTGTTTGAATCACAAGGTCAGCAGTTCAAACCCACCATTTGCTTCTTGGAAGCCCTATGCTGGGTTGCCAGGAGTCAGAACCAACTCATCAGGACGTAACAACAACAAAGGTTTATAAGTGACAGTTGTTAACCATTCAGTTTTTTTAGTTCTGATTTTTATTTTCTGTTTCATTTTTTCTTCTCACTTGATATTTGCATTCCATTTGGTATCTTACTTGAACAAATGAGGAAAAAAACATAAGGACCTCAAATCTCATGTTTATTTGGCTCTGTGTTTTGGTAGGTGAAAAAATGAAAATATGTATTAAAATGAGACTGTGTTTTCTAATGCAATATTTTTTTAATCTGCATTCATAGAAGAATATAAATCTCATCTTTTATTTCCCTTTTAAAAACTCTATTATCTATCTTGTTGTTTTTAAGTGCCGTGGAGTCGGTTCCGACTCATAGCGACCCTGTACAGGGTTTCCAAGGCTGTAAATCTTTACGGGAGCAGAGACCTCATCTTTCTCCCACAGAACAGCTGGTAATTTCGAACTGCTGACCTTGCGGTTCACAGCCCGATTCGTATCCACTATGCTAGATTAATGCATCCCCTAAAAAGTAAGTTCTACCCCCACAGCCTTTTATTTTACCCTAGTTCATATTTTCTATAATGTGGCTGTTGCTTCACTGTTTCCCGACCCTGTTCCATTAATAGTCCTTATCCAGGAAGTAACTATTAGGTTCATTGCTATTAATTTATTGACTCTAATTCCATATGAAGAGTCCTGGTATGGTGCTGCGGGTTAATGCACTAGACTGCAAAGTAGGTTTGAACCACAAGGTCAGCAGTTCAAGCTCACTGGCTGCTCCTCAGAAACCCTATACTATGAGTCAGAACAGACTCGAAGGCACTTAACAACAATAACAACAACAATCCCATCTGAAGTGCTCTAAAATATCACCATGTGACCAGCTGTATTCTAAAATGTAAATGAAGATTTGATAAATTGTCAAAAGTATGCAGTTGATAATCCTGAGCTTTGAGACTGAAGTCACGACTTGCTGATGATTTCAATGCCATGTAGGATGTTGTTAAACCCCCCACCCTCCCACACACACATATACAGTGTCTAGTATCCACAAGAGGTTTTTTTTTAACCATTTGCTGTTTAATATGTAGTGATTAATTCGTCAAAAAGATGTAGGATTTTCCTTTGAAAAATTGTGTACCACCACCTTGCAGCTGATGCTTAGATTTATCAGGGTCTCGATATTAGCGAGTTCCTGAAACTTTTCATTGTATTTACATTTTTAGGATTTTTTTATACTAGCTCTTCATATAATTTTAACTTCAGTAAATTAAAATAGGAGTCGTAGTGTGCCAGTGTAGGATAACCAATGACTTACTCACCAGCCACTTCCTGGAAATCCTGTACAGGGTTGCTATGAGTCAGAACCAAGTCAATAGCACTTAACAACAACAAATCAAAATAAGAAACTTTTTAATATTTCTCCATTTTTATTTGACCTAAATCATATCTGTGACTTTATTATTGTTAAGTTTTATAACTGCTTTGTGTTCCGTGTTTTTGAAACTCTTTATTTTTTTTCCTTAATTACTTTTGTTTAAGGTTCGTTACTTTTTGGTTTTATTGTTGAATCTCTAGTCTTAATTTAATATTTATTAATAACTAGTCCCTGAGAAAAAAAGTTTTAATATGCAGAGAATGGAGTGCCACCTGCTTCATTTGTATAGGTAGGGGATGGAAACCACGTCTCCTGTAAATGTGCTCATCTATACATTTAAGTGTACTTATCTAAACATTTGCTTTATGTGTTTGTGATTTCAGAATTGTCTTCCATTCTTCACTGAGTCTGATCTGAGTATTAGCTCTCCCTGTGATGAATTAATAGTCATATAGTGCACTTGACCTGAGTTTGCAAGTTCTTTAATTGTCCAAATGATGTAATTAGTTGTAAATGGCTAACTGGAAAGTATTTTTCTAACGTTAAATTTCTTATTTTCTTTAAATTGTATTTAAGTAGTGAATGTGTTCTCCTTTTTTTAGGTGCGCTTTGTTAAAAACATAACTTCCTGGAAAGAAATGAAGCCAGGGTTTTATCATGGACATGTCTCGTATTTGGATTTTGCAAAGTAAGTTACACCTAAAGTAATGCACTAAGAATGCTTTGTACTTTAGAAAAATGAAAAGGAATACATTTATTAAATTGTTATGATTTTGATTTCCCATAAAACAATGTACTGACTTGCCTTTACCACTTTAGAGATGTAATTTAAATATGCCTTTTAGTATTTTACTGCCCTCTAGTGTTCATAAACTGCCAATTCTCATATTTATTACAGAAATTATAAGTTAAATTTCGGTAGCACTCTTTAAAATTGTATCTCATTATTATATGTATCTTTCTTGCACTATCAGACAGAATGATACTATGACAGGAGAGTTCTAAGCTCTGAGCTATAGACCAGTGAGATGATATGATGACTTAAGCCATTGGCTGAGAACTGAAAAAGCAAAGAAGCCACCATTCAGTTACTGTTCCCTAATGCATCTGCTTTTCAAGCATAGTGAAGTGTCTGCTTCCCCTGGGGCTCCTTTGTTAATCACAGGGTCAGAGGTTCAAAACCATCAGCCACTCCTCAGAAACTCTATGCAGGATCCATATGAGTTGGAACGGACTTCACAGCACTTAGCAACTTTGCTTTTGCCTTAAAATTCTGATGTATTAAGACGATACTAGTGGGGGCGGGGAAAAAGTGATTTTCCCTTTATGTTTGTATTTGCCTACAGTTGCAGATAACTGTTACTTCATGTTTTCAAAAAATATTTTTTAAGGGATTAATGTCAGGGTGGTGGTGGTGGTACTCTGTGGAGTCAGTTCTAACTCATAGCAACCCTGCGTAGGGTTTCCAAGGCTGTAAATCTTCACGGGAACAGAAAGCCTCATCCTTCTCCCACGGAGCAGCTAGTAGTTTCAAACTGCTGACCTTGAGGTTAGCAGCCCGACTTGTAACCACTGTGCTACCAGAGCTTCTTGTTGTTGTTGTTGTATGCTGTGAAGTCGGTTCTGACTCATAGCAACCCTGTACAAGGTTTCCGAGGCTGTAAATATTTATGGGAAAAGAAAGCCTTATCTTTCCCGTGGAACAGCTAGTAGTTTTGAACTGCTGACCCCAAGGTTAGCAGCCCAGTTCGTAACTACTACTCTACCAGAGCTCCTTAGTTCTGTCATAATTCTCTGAAGAAAGATTTACAAAACCATAGGCCAATTTAGGGTATTCAAGCATTGTGTGGGTCCCTCTAGAGTCTGTGTCCCATTAAGTACTAATCAGAAAATTGGTCTAAAGGAATGTTCTGAACATATGCAACTCTTGCATCCATTTGAATGTTCTTTATAGTGCACATAATGCCATTATAGTTAAACCTTAACTCCAGATATTTTCCCTCATAAGAATCTGCAGTAACTTTGAAAACACTAAAAAAAAATTTTCACTCTTACTGAAATTTGGACATGTTTGCTAACTCTTTCATTGTTGTTGTTGTTGTTATGTGCCATCGAGTCAGTTCCGACCCATAGCGACCCTGTATAGGGTTTCCGAGGGTGTAAATCTTTACGGGAGTAGAAAGCCTCATCTTTCTCCCGCGGAGCAGCTGGTAGTTTCAAACTGCTGACCTTAAGGTTCGCAGCCCGATTCGTAACCACTACGCTACCAGAGCATGTGAATATATTTATCTACTCTAAAGGGTGTTACGTGTAAAATTTGAAAACTAGATTGATGACCCACTCTCAACTTAACATCTTGTATTTGGAAAGAGAATACAATTAGATCTTCATGACTTAAGCAGATTGATGTTAACTTTTTAAAAAAAATCATGTAATTTAAAAGGGAGTCCTGGTGTGGCGCTGTGGTTTAATGTGTCAGACTGCAAAGTCATTTAACCTGCAAGGTCGGTGGTTCAAACTCACCAGCTGCTCCTTGGAAACCTTATACAGGTCGCTATGAGTCAGAATCGACTCCATGGCACTTAACAACAACGTAAATATTAAGTATATGAAACAATATATTTTTGGTTCTAATTCTTTCTAGAAGGAGCTCTGGTAGCATAGTGGTTATGAATCAGGCTTGTAATATCACGGTCAGCAGTTCGAAACAACCAGCTGATCCGCAGAAGAAAGATGACACTTTCTGCTGCTGTAAAGATTTACAGCTTCAGAAGCCCTCTGTAGGGTTGCTATGAGTCAGAACCCACTCCACGGCACATAAGAACAACAACAATTGTTTCTATAATATATATTTTTCAATAAAATGGAAGTTTTAAAGTTAGATGTACATTTTTAATAAATAATTCATATTATATTATTGAAAACATTTTATAGGCAGCTTTAAAATAAACTAATTATTTTTTCTTTGTAGAGGCATTGAACCAATTTCATAAACTTCATTCATGTGCATATTTTCCCTCAGGTTTACATTATCCTTGGATTGAATGTTTGTTACCCTTTCACCTAAATGATTTATTTTTTCTACACACAGCTTGATTTCTAATACTTGAGGTTTTCATTATCAAAATAATATATTGAGTATGCTTGCTTTTGGCAAAAGTCTTGTACTTAGAACAAAGTTATGGCATATGCTGGGGTTCTGCATTTGAAAAAGTATCAAGCATTTGAAAAGATTAATCTCATTTATTAAACATTGACATGAAAGCTCAAGGGTTTGAATATTTCCATAGTAAATCTCATGTTAGACTGGAAGTGAAAAATACAGTGAAAATTTTAAAGGACTTAACAAGATTATAAACAGATATCTAAACAAAATCAACTAGAGGAAATGCTTTTTGATGAATATAATTCCATGAGTGTTGATTTTTGGATCCAAGCAAAATTAAATCTTGAATCACTTCAATCTTTTCTCCATTTATCATGTGAATAAGTATGATGAAAGGATATATATTTATACACCTTTCCTGATTTTAAACCACTCAGTATCCCCTTGTTTTGTTCTAACAACTGCCTCTTGGTTTATGTACAGGTTCCTCATGAGCACTATTAAGTATTCTGGAGTACACATTCTTCACAATGTTATCTGTAGTTTGTCCTGATCTATACAGTTGAAAACCTTTGCATAGTCAATAAAGCACAAGTAAACATCTTTCTGATATTCTCAGCTATCAGCCAAGATCCATCTGATGTCAGCAATGGTATCCCTTGTTCCATGTCCTCTTCTGAGTCAGCTTGAATTTCTGGTAGTTCTCTGTTAATGTACATTTGCAACAATTTTTGAGTTATCTTCAGCAGAATTTTACTTGCATCTGATATTAATGATATTGTTCAATGATTTTCCACATTTCGTTGGGTCATCTTTCTTTGGATTGGGCACAAATATGGATCGCTTCCAATCAGTTGGCCCGGTAACTGTCTTCCAAATTTTTTGGCATAGATGAGTGAGCACTGCTGTGCTGCATTACTTTGTTGAAAGATTTCAGTTTGTTCTCTGTCAATTCTTGAAGACTTATTTTTCACCAATGACATCATTGCAACTTAGACTTCTTATTTCACTACCATTGATTCTTGATTGTATGGTACTCCTTGAAATGATTGAACATCAACCATTTCTTTTTTGTACAGTGACTCTATATATTCCTTCTATCTTCTTTTGAAGCTTTATGCATCATTCAATATTTTGCCCATGTAGTTCTTCAATATTACAACTGAAGGCCTGAATTTTTTTCTTTAGCTTTTTTTTTTTTAGTTTTTATTGTAATTTTAGTGAAAGTTTACAGGGCAGATCATCAGTTTTATATTCAACAAATCATATACTTTGTTTCATTACAATGATTATAATCCCCTCCATGTACCATCAGTTGAGAGTATTTCTCGCTATCCATTTTAGCTTTTTTTTTTTTTAAACACTCAGGCATATATAATCATTTAAACCACTAAAGGACATATTCTGCAAGCCTGCCTCTTGGCTGCCATCTCTCAGCCCCTCTCTTTCCATGAGTCTAGAGTCCTTAGCTGGTCCCTCTCTCCATGTCCCCACCACTGCCTCCATCTCTGGTGTCACTGCTTCTCTGGATAGAGTGCCTCATTCCACTTGTGCTTCTCTCCCTTGATGGTCCTAGGGTCCTTTGTTTCTAGAATGTAAGATTGACTACTCCCCCATTTTTGTTAAAAAACTTCTACCTTTACAATTGTGACAGTCTCAGTTATTCACTATTGAATCATAAGAATTTTATCCCCCATCTCTTTTACTAGACCCATCTTAGACAAGATGAAAATTATTCAGTGGGGACTCTCTGCCTTCCCCACATACTCAAACTAAACTCCCTCTTGAAAACTTGTAAGCCAGTCATTTTGTGCCTTTATCGCTCCCTCATTTTGGGTAGCCAATGTCTAAGTTGCCCATCTGTATCTACCCTGTACACAGAGGGGATAGCATTGATACTTTATGTGAAGACTTCTTCCCTCTCTGTTGGTATTTTGAGCTACTATATCCAAGCAAATGGAAGAAATGAGGAGATACAAAAGCAGAACAGAAAATTTCAAAGATCAGCTTGAGAAGATAAAGCCAAATATTACAAGAAA